TTGTATAATTATAACAGTAAGAAATATCATAAAAAATAGCAGACATCATTTATTTTACTATATCAGAAAAATGAACGTTTATTTGTAACAATACAAAATTGTATATTACAAGTTCCATTAAATAATTGGTCTAAACAGTTTTTAATTCAATCCCACACATATACTATTTATATAACCATTGTCTTATTGTATAACATAAGTATAGTTCACTTGCATACAATCTGGCCTCCGATTATGTGAAGGGTCGCGCTGGATTAAATGGCGACACGGTTTTTCTACTGGATTGGACACGTAGCAGACAGTATTGTCAAACAGATTTCGGATATTCGATAATAAAAGATAAATTTGTTCTCCCTTATCGAGTCCAGTAGCATGGCATCGAATTTCTTGATACAATAATGAAAATTTACTTTATCTTATTACATTCAAAACTAATCAAAGCTACCCCAATCTGTATTAAATGTACACGTGAAAGCAAATATATTTGAAATTACACAGAGAAATGTACTTTACAATAGCTATTTATTATTTATTCATCTATTTCTCCACTTTTTATCATTACGCATTTAAAAGGAAATTTAATGTATGGGAATTATAAACGGAAAATGCCTATATGATTATTCAAATGGTGAAAGAAATGTTTCAGTTTGTATGAAAATGCGTAGCCTATTTATTATTCATGTCTAATTAAAATTGAAAAAGTATCAGCATAATTAAATCGAAGAATGCAACTAAATTCCTTTTACGTTTCTCACTTTGACGTACTACCTGGCGTTCGATCCTGAATTTAATTTTCCAGAGAAAAGAACGGCTTTAGCGCACAAATAACCTCTAGCATGTACGGGATTTCAGGCAGTTAATCAATCCGTGTATCGCGAGGAGACGAAAAAGAACGAGCTTACGAGCGGACGCGGACGGGCGAGGTTGGTAGCCGATTTCGTAATAAAATTCCAGGGGAACGGGCGATGTGCGAGCCTTGGGAGCCGCAGACAATTTCGTGATAACATTAACAAATACCGAGAGGGATATGCTACGGTATAAGCCTCGTGTACTCGTTTCGGTTCGCGGCGCCGGAAATTAATATGAAATTGGTCTGTAATCCGGATAGTCTGGCTGGTACGTAGACATAGGAAAACGATCCCGGTACACGTGGCATTGCGTGCCTGAGTCGACTAGTTTAAATACGATCACGCGGATTATTCTCGGCGTGTATTCGTTTCATCCCTTCGCTGTGCCAAGAGCACTCGCGCCATCGCTTATTTATAATGTATTAAAGCGCATATCCACTTATAGCCTCGTCTCGTATCACTGTTGACGTCGTATCATTGCACACTCAACTCATTATATTTTGACCGATAGTAAACACGGACAAGTAAGCATCGCCATTAGCGGCGAGCGATGTGAGTCTGCAGCCAAAGTACAATCAGTTGGGTGTACGTTCATAAGACTTAACACACACGTAAACACATTAGAAGCTACTAAATTATACAGTCAGGCAATATCACAAGAAATTATACAATAAATCATGAATTTTTCCAATAAAATACTACTTCAAATAAAAGAAGAGAAACTATTTCCGTGTAATAATACCGATGAGAAATGAACGTGGTTTATGTTTTCGTAGGAAATTGCATGTAACATGAATAAAGCAATATGAATACGTAGAATGATGAAATGTAGAATTGTAACAAAAACAAACACTTAAAGCCATTCTTGTGGGAATCTGAGACCTATTATATTTCCACCAACAATGTATTTCCCATGTGCGTACATTAATATAATGTTATTTACTAACATATGATATAACTGAATCTAACTAGTAGACAAGACTTTTTAACAAAATTTATTTCTTTGACATAAGCATGTATCAACCTTTAGCGTAGGTCCTAGGCTATTCAAATGAAGAGCACTGTATGAGATTCGTGACGTTCCAAAATATAAATGAAGCCAACCAATTCATGTTACGAACGTATCTGGGTTGCCAAATTAAGAGAAACAAAATTGCTTGCATACGTATCAATGAAATGATACCGCAATTATAAACAATTCAACAGAACAGGACAGTTTGCCGTCGATTGCAATAATTATGCGCAATCAATCGGCGGAATACTCGAACGTGACGTTGTTGCGGTCCTGGTTCGCTCGTTCGAAGCGCGCCGCGCCGCGTTCCCACAGGACATCGATTCTCGTTTGCAAAATCCCTCGCAGCAGTCGAAGGGACGAACGATTGCGTGAGGTCAGACGGCGCGGCCGGGGGGAGGCCGGGGGGTTGGTTGAACATCCATTGCATCGATCTGAATCTGTTCGTGCCACCGCAAAGAGCAACAGTTGGTTTTTATATAGACTAATATTCGGCGAGCGTGACAGGGAACGATTTTCAAGTTGGAATTGCTCCCTCGCAACCGTTACCTCCCATTGTCCACGTCGCACCTTTTTAAATTTTCTCTTTCCTCTATTCGTAGTCGACGAAACTGCCATCTCATCGTCTCTCAATCTTTTACCAATTTTGACAAAACAATTTCTGTAACGATAAACACCTTACTCTATTATTATTATTATACGGGCACGTCTTTCGAATAAGGGAATTTTCCCTTACAGATACGGTGATACAAATAGATGCGCGTCTTTAAGACGACTCCACACGCGACGAGGTCCAGGTCCAATATGAGACTAAGAAAATCCATTTCGATATTCCTGTCACTGGCACGTGTCTCGAAAGGAGAGAGCACGCGAATGGATAGATGTAGGATGCCGGGAAGAGTAGTTTCACGGCTGTCATGTTACCGTTACTGTCGATCCTGAGAATTAGGGAATTAAATCGGGCTCTCGCGTACATAGCCGTTTCCCCCCCCCCCCCCCGCCCCTTGCACCTGACGTATTTCAAATAGAGGCTCCCGGATCGAATACGAGGGTCGGACGTCTGACGGTAAGTTCACAGAACATAGAGTCGCTCGACGCTGGAGGCGCGTAAGTAGTTGCTGTTGCTTGCCGGCTCGGCGGCATTATTGACAGGAGAGAGGGCCAAGTGTGTAACTTCGTTAGGCTGAGACTGAGGAGCAGCACGTCACAGGCCGTGCGGTGAATCCACAATGAATCCTCGCGTATCCCCGAAAATAATTGTTACGCACGCGTAAACGTAGTATATGAAATTACGTCGTTTGCCGCGATGCCCTTGAAATTGAAAATCGAGCTCCGTCTTCTTATTAAAATAGAAATAATTATATTAATATCTTGGACGTGTTCTGTATAAGGAATTGGTGTATAATTGAGAATCGCAATGATCCCGGACACGAAATTATATGTTTGAAGGATTGAGTTTAATTCGTTATTGTGTTTGTGTGTAGAAAGATCAGTCGGGCGTACGCATTTGGCAACAGTTATAATGTACGAGACGTGATACAATTGCGTTAATAATCAAGACGATAATTTCGAATCGGGTATATTTTAATTATTTAGACGACCCAGTACGCGAATCGGTTAGAATATGAGTTTTAATTATGAATTGGATTAAATTGGCAACCATTATCTGCCGCTTTAAGCTTTGTATAAATTTTCATTCGTATTACCTATATTATCAAATATGCATGAGTTTGAATTTAGCTGAAAATTACCTTCTATACAATTCGAAATAATTAGGTATCAAGTATGTAAATTCATTAATGAAATAATTAGTCATTTCTATAAAGCTTTGCGATGAAAACAGCCACAGCGAATAGGTGATGATAGATCGTTGATTAATTTTTAACACGGGAACACCGATGTAATCGGCGTGAACGTTGAAATACCTATTTTATTTCACGATCGAGCTCGCCGACAAGAGCAAGTCATAGCAAAGCAATTACAAAGGCATTCGGACATCGTTTACACTTTACGAGGGCAGTAAAGGGGTAGAGGAAATGCCGTAGGCGAGAATGGTCTTCAGGATATTAGCACGTTATTGCCAGAGTTTATTGGTTTTATCGATTTACCCGCTATTACCGGAGCTTGTTGTCTGACGTAAAAACGAATTAACATCCGACCGATTTACTAAACGCCACGTCCCATCGATTAGAAAATTTCATCTTAATTACTCAAGTAAAATTACTTTATCTCTTCAATGATTGTTATTTACAAAATTAATTACTCTATTTCTGTCGTTAATGTATATTATTTTTATAACATTACTATTCATGATCGAATACAGTCTTACGTC